ATTCCCTTTAGAGCTGAATGTTGGAACGAGCCTTGCAGACTAGTTTAAAGATTGTGAAGCCTTGCCAAGGTTGGAGGCTGTAACTTGAAACATCCTTATGCCTTGCCTGTGCAGCTTTACTAAAATGTATTTCAGGTTGCAGCCATTATGAAAACAGCCTCCTATTATCAAGCATAATAGTAGTCTTGTCTAAATTTAACTTCGTTTTCTGAATTCTGGCATACGCCAAGGGCATGCAATTAAATTTCATGAAGGTCCATAAAAATCACAACAGCAGTAGCGGAGGGTGTGTGTCTGGAATCTGGTTGCTTTCTCCTGAACACAAGAGCACTTTCTCTTTTATATCACAGCTGAGTGGGTGGCCTATAAAACATGGAGTGGAGGTCCAGTTATGGACCTCAGACCACAAATGGTTTAAAGTCCACCTCTGCTCTAAACCTTCTCTTTTTCAAAACTACCGACACAGCTCTTCTTTGTCATAAAACGTCGTTCCCATACACCTTTATGTCCCTTCTGAACACATTTTGAAGTAACTGTAAGGTAGATATTGAGCTAACTTCACACAAATGTTTTCTAGTAGACAGAATGCTGATGCACGAAATCTGCGAAATCTCTATGTAACCATGAACTGGAGGCATACATGCACTGGATTATGGCGAAAGCTAGAGAGTTCCAGAAAGACATCTACTTCTACTTCATTGACTATGCGTCAATGACTTTGTCGACCAGAGCAAACTATGGAAAGTTCTTTTTTTTTTTATAAATATTTTTTATTGAGTTTCTTTTCTTAAGGTCAAAGACACAAGATTGAAGTAAGAGAATACAAGAAACATAAACAAAAAAAATGATAAAAAGATCATTACAATCCAATTTTCAATAGTTTTTCCAATTATCCAAATGGACTTCCCCGCATCCTCCAGACTCTGCGTTCTTTGCAATAAAAGTTTCAGCAATTTGTTACCTTGTTTCTTAACTTACTGTATCTTTCAATTATTATGTTTCTAAATTCACAATATTATGTCCCAACTTTGTACATTTAAAGTTAACATAATAAAATTGTTTCATATTACCACCTCTTTTTTCTTGTCTTAATTTTCAGTTTACCTAATCAAGTTGCTAAAGCAAAAAATTTCCTATGGAAAGTTCTTAAAGAAATGGGAGTGCCTGATCACCTCATCTGTCTCCTGAGAAATCTCTATGTGGGACAAGAAGCTACAGTTAGAACTGGATATGGAAACTGATTGGTTCAAAATTGGGAAAGGAGTATGACAAGCTGTATATTGTCTCCCTGCTTATTTAACATATGCAGAATTCATCATGCAAAGGCTGGGCTGGATGAATCCCAAGACGGAATTAAGATTGCCGGAAGAAATATCAACAACCTCAGATATGCAGATGACACAACATTGATGACAGAAAGTGAGGAAGAATTAAAGAACCTTTTAATGAGGGTGAAAGAGGAGAGCGCAAAAGATGGTCTGAAGCTCAACATCAAAAAAAACCCGAAGATCATGGCCACTGGGCCCATCACCTGGCAAATAGAAGGGGAAGAAATGGAGGCAGTGAGAGATTTTACTTTCTTGGGCTCCATGATCACTGCAGATGGTGACAGCAGTCATGAAATTCCTGCTTCTTGGGAGAAAAGCAATGACAAACCTAGACAGCATCTTAAAAAGCAGAGACATCACCTTGCCAACAAAGGCCCAATATAGTTAAAGCTATGGTTTTCCCAGTAGTGATGTATGGAAGTGAGAGCTGGACCATAAAGAAGGATGATCACCGAAGAATTGATGATTTTGAATTATGGTGCTGGAGGAGACTCTTGAGAGTCCCATGGACTGCAAGAAGATCAAACCTATCCATTCTGAAGGAAATCAGCCCTGAGTGCTCACTGGAAGGACAGATCCTGAAGCTGAAGCTCCAGTACTTTGACCACCTCATGAGAAGAGAAGACTCCCTGGAAAAGACCCTGATGCTGGGAAAGATGGAGGGCACAAGGAGAAGGGGACGACAGAGGACGAGATGGTTGGACAGTGTTTTTGAAGCTACCAGCATGAGTTTGACCAAACTGTGGGAGGCAGTGGAAGACAGGAGTGCCTGATGTGCTCTGGTCCATGGGGTCACGAAGAGTCGGACACGACTAAACAACAACAAATATTTTAGGAACTTCCAGGTAGCTGTAAAAGTTCTGAACAGTTCCCTAAAGTTTTTTAAAGTGAAAATACTTATTTTTTATGAGTTCTTTAATCAGATGCAACACTAAAACATTGTTACAGTGTCGTGACAATCCACATTACCATCTGCTTGATTTTGCACTCTCCCCACAACAAAACCAATACTTAAAAACGAGAGAGAGAGAGAGAGAGAGAGAGAGAGAGAGAGATCCAACCCATATGTCAGCACCTGCCAGACAGCTACACCCTAAAAATGCTTCTTTATAAAACCAACTCGGAACACCCCCAGCAAACAATCTTTTCATTCATGGAATCTTTTTAAAAATACAAGGAATTCCTGTCCTCATCTGTAAACCTCAGAAGCCTCAAGTCTTTTGTTGCTGTTGGTACAATGGATGCTTTTCTAGATTTTATGGATATTGAAGATGTATGTCTCCCCCAATTATAGCTGTCAACCTCCCCTTTTTTTGCGGGGAAATTCCCTTATTCCAGTGCCGTTTCCTGCTGCTTCCCGCTGCTTTCCCGGATCGTTAGCTATCCCGTAGACTGTCCCCAGGACAGGTGAGGCTGCTGATCCCCTATTTTCAAATCTGGAAGTTGACAGCTATGCCCCCAATCTGTACTCCCTCCTAAACTGAATGCAAGTCTTAGAGCGGAGAAAAGGACAGGGGATATGAAGAGAGACACGCACAAAGACTGATTCATTACATTATTTGGTATTCTCTGGAAAATAAAAGAGACAGGAGAACAGAAGTTGCGAGTCTAGGGGATGTTTGGGATGGAAACAGAGAAATGACGAGTGTCCCTACCCATGCTTCTAAGGGGCTGGGGAGACTCCAACAACAGAGCATCAAAGAAGTTGCTTCCCTGAAACATGGAGGAGACGATCTTCCCGGTGGAGTTGATGGTCCCTTCGCTGTCCGAGCTGGACCCAGAGTTGCTGCTCCCAGAGTAGGCCCTGAGGCCCGGCAGGATCCCAATGCAGCCGGCAGCCAGTGGAGGGCAGAGCCGCTCATGGAGCCGCTGCTCAGAGGAACACAGGGAGGCTTTTCTGGAGTCTTGTTATGGTCAGGATCTGGATCAAGTTTCAGTCTTTTCACACTGTTGGCACCTTCTGAACTCCAACGTTTCACAGCTCCAGCCTGCAGCTTTGCCTGTGAGAACTTGCTCTTGTTTTCTGCTGATTTCACCGGCAGTTCCTTGTCTGCCTCCTTCTTCAGGTCGGCACTGACCCCCACCTTTGACAAAGTGCTTCTGTACTTGTTAAGTTGTGGGTGAACATATCAGACAGCACAGCGATTCTTTAAATGGCTCTTGTCTATTCACAGCAGAACAGAACTGGGCTGCAGGGTTCAGCCAACCTGCTTATATAGAGCTCAACTACAAAGCAACAGTAACAACTTTCTGTAAATATCCAATCACTGAAGTCACTTCCAATTCCTTATTTGCATATGCGGACCTGAGTGAAAACTATCTACAGTATCCCCCTGCTGGCCCAGGGTGAGAACTTCAGTACATAACAGTACTCATTCAGCTCCTGAGAGATCTTCTTCTCACCGCTGCTTCTCTATTAACGCTTGATGCCGGGAAACCTCATCTACAAACTTGGTCTCTTCGTCTAGGCCTCTGACCATGTTTTTGAACTTGAACTGCTCCTCAGACTCCTGCTTCTTGTCCTTCTGCTCCTGGAGCCTTTTGTAGAGCGATTGGGGGTTGTACACCTCCTCGGGGCATTCTTCAGGGTCTTCGGATTTCCGAACCTTCTCCCATTCTTCATGCCTTCGCTTGCGCCGCTCTTCTATCTCCGCTCCAGACACAAAGCTTTTGTTAATCACGAGGTCGGCACTACCTTCTCCTCCATCCATTGTGGAGCAGCCTCTCCGCCATGGACCCCTCCAGCGGAGCCTTCAAGTGAAAATACTTATGAGTAGTACAATTGTACCTCGGGTTACAGATGCTTCAGGTTACAGACTCCGCTAACCCAGAAATAGTACCTCGGGTTAAGAACTTTGCTTCAGATTGAGAACAGAAATCGTGCTCCGGCAGCACAGCGGCAGCAGGAGGCCCCATTAGTTAAAGTGGTGCTTCAGGTTAAGAACAGTTTCAGGTTAAGTATGGACCTCTGGAACAAATTAAGTACTTAAACCGAAGTACCACTGTAATGTTACATATGAGTGACCTTTTTTCACAGCTGAGGAAAATTAGCCCCCTTTTCAGTGTTTCTAAACAAAAGTTAACCTCTTTATGACACTGGAAATCAGGCTATTTTTTTGGGGGGGGGGAGTCTAAAAGTTATAACCCTAGTGTGTATATGCAGATATACTTTATCCAGCAGGTAAGGTGGTTTTCCAAACTTTTCACGTTTTTGACAGACTTTTTAGACACGCACTATTTTGCGACGCAATAGGAGGGGAAGTCGAAAAAGAACCAAAGGAAAATTTATTATTTTTTTGGGTGTATATGTGAAAGTATTTGAAATTAATAGAATATAATAACTTTTTTTCTAAATCCCTCTCAATGTAAATTGGCTTATTTCCAAACACAACACCCAAAAAATATTCTGTCACAAGTGTCTCTTCAGAGGCAACAGAAGCTGCGAAAGCACAGACTGAGGAGACGCACAGGAAAAAGAGCGGGAGTCTGAGGCGCGAAAACTTGCGCATGCGCTGTAGCGACGCAGGGACATTAAAAAAAGAGAGAAAGCACTTCCCCCTTCCGCTCCCCCCAATCCCCGCTCAGCAGCCGTTAAACAGGCGATGCGGGACGCGGCGTGCTTTTTCCTGTGGTTCCTATCGCCGCCCGCCCTCCCTCCCGCTCTGGAGAAACACATTTCGAAAGCAAGCAAAAGCGGGCAGAAGAAGGACGCGAGAGGGAGGCGGGACGGCGACGAGGAGGCGGGGCTTCGGCGGAGCCCTTCGTCTCATTGGTTCGCAGGCGCGCTTTCGATTTTCAGTGGCGCGCGAGGCGAAGGTTCATCTTTGTAGCCTCCCCGCCCCAACTGCCGCTCCCCCCCCCGCCCACAATTAAGGGTTTTCTCCTCAGCATGGCTTCTTCCTCCAAAGGGGGGAGGAAGAGCCCGGCTCCCGCAGCATCAGCGGCATCGCGGGTCTTGGCCCTGGAGGAAGAAGTGCGGGGCCTGACGGAGGAGCTGAGCCAGTGCCAGGTGGGTACCGGGGCGAAGGAGGAGGAGGAAGGGGCGCAGGGTCTCGGGGGCCGGGGGAGAGGAGGCCCTCCCTCACTCCTAGACCCATCATCCACTCTGCAGGCAGCTTTGTGTGGAGTGTGGAGGGGTCCCCCAGAGGTCATCCAGTCCAACCCCAGCCCCCCGACCAGGCAGGAGTCTCAGCTAAAGCATCCCTGACAGACGGACATCCAACCTCTGCTTAAAATCTCCAAGGAAGGAGAGTCACGGAATCATGGCGTTCTGAAGTGGGGAGGGGCCCCCAGAGGTCATCCAGTCCAAACCCCACCCTCCGTGTCAGGCAGGAATCTCAGCTAAATCATCCTTGACAGACTGACATCCAACCTTTGAATTTGTTCGTTCCAGACTGGAGTATATATGATAACAACAACAACGACAATAATAATAATAACAATTTATTATTTATACCCCGCCCATCTGTCTGGGTTTCCCCAACCACTCTGGGCGGCTCCCAGCAGAATTAAAAGCACAATAAAACATCAAGCATTATAAACTTCCCTAAACAGGGCTGTTTTCAGGTGTCTTCTAAAAACCAGATAGTTGTTTATTTGCTTGACATCAGATGGGAGGGCGTTCCACAGGGAGGAGCCACTACCAAGAAGGCCCTCCGCCTAGTCCTAGAATTTACGAGGCCTAGAATTGTTGCGTTGGGAGGGACCCCCAGGGGTTATCCAATCCAACCCCCCTGCAGTGCAGGAATCTTTCACTCGTTGTGGGGCTCGAACCCTGGACATGCCCCATCAGGCATGCTGTAGGAGCCACATGCTGAAGTGGGATCGGTTGTGCCAGGAGACACAAAAAAGTGAATGCAGAGCAAATACAGTGGAACATCGGGTTACATACCGTCCTCCTTACGAATGCTTCAGGTAACGAGCTCCACTAACCCGGAAGTAGATGCTCCTGGTAGCAAACTTTGCCCCGGGATGCGAGCGGAAGTGGTGCAGCAGCAGCGGGAGGCCCCATTAGTGAAAGTGCAACTCAGGTTAAGAATGGTTTTGGGTTAAGAATGAACCTCTGGAGCAAATTAAGTTCGTAACCGGAGGTACCACTGTAGTCCTTGATGACTCAGGCAAGTAAGCCAAGCTACACACTGTAAGGAAGGGAAACAACAAGTAGTTATTGTGATGGCTTCTTTCTTCGTAAGGGCCTTACAATTTTTCATATGGAAGCTGAGAAGCCTGCCATAAGTACGTTTTGGTCTGCAGATTTGGTTCCACTGCTTGAGAAAATCCAATACCGAGGCGAATTCCCATGGAGTCTTGTTGACTCCCCTGCATAAGAACATTACAAAAAACTTGTTTACACATTACTGTGAACCCAGGTGCTGTGTTCTACACTTGCGCTTGTGTGCAAGTGTCTTCTGACTGATTTGTACACCACCACTGTTGTATACTGTGCACATCATTGCGGGAGACTTCAACCATGTTGAACTTAAAACAGTGCTCCCAACGCTCTATCAGCATGTGAAATGTCCCACAAGAGGGGACAAGACACTGGATAAAGTTTATTCGAATGTAAATCACGGCTATAGGGCTTTACAGCTGCCACACTTGGGCCAGTCCGACCATATGTCTCTGTTCCTGGTACCAGCATATATCCCACTCAGGAAACGGGCTCCCACAATATTAAAATCTGTTAAAATCTGGCCTGAAGGTGCTATTCACCAGCTGCAGGACTGTTTTGAGAGAACCAATTGGGATATTTTCGATAGTTCAGACCTGGAGGAGCACACGGCGGCAGTTCTGTGCTATATCAATCACTGCACAGACACTGTCACAGTAAATAAATCCATCCGGTTTTACCCCAATCAGAAACCCTGGATGAATAGAGAGGTCCAGTGCCTGTTGCGGGAAAGGAACAGGGCTTTCAGGTCAGGCGAGGTGCAGCTTTACAGTGTAGCAAGAGCAAACTTGAGGAGGGGTATTCGACGGGCAAAATTGGATTATAGGCTGAGGATTGAGGATAATTTAAGGAGCAACAACACAAGACAGATGTGGCAGGGGATTCAGCATATTACCAACTACAAACCTAACCTTGGTGCTGTCGACGGTGACCCTTTGCTGGCGGAGGAGCTTAACCTCTTCTTTGCTCGCTTCGAGAAGGAGCCACCTGAGACGCCGGTATTACAGCCACCAGCCCATAGGGGCCCCTCATTCACGGTAGAGGAACATGAGGTGAGACAGGTATTGAGGATGGCGAATCCGAGGAAGGCGGCTGGACCTGATGGCATCACTGGAAAGGTGTTGAAGGGCTGTGCGGATCAGCTGGCGAGGGTCTTTACTAAGATCTTCAATAAGTCCTTACACCAGTCTATTGTCCCACCCTGCCTGAAGTCGTCAACTATTGTCCCTCTGCCTAAAAAATCCACAATCAGTAGTTTGAATGACTACAGACCAGTTGCACTGACTCCAATCATCATGAAGTGTTTTGAGAAACTGGTGCGCCGTCACATTATTTCCTGTCTTCCATCAACTTTTGACAACTACCAGTTTGCATACAGAGCAAATAGATCCACAGAAGACGCCATCAATACCACTCTCCATGCTGCTCTGTCCCATCTGGAGCAGCCGGGGAGTTATGTGAGGCTGCTGTTTGTGGATTTTAGCTCTGCTTTTAACACTATCCTCCCCCATAGACTGGTGTCCAAGCTAGAGGCGATTGGACTCTCCAACTCCACCAGTCTCTGGGTTTTGGATTTTTTGTCAGAACGTTCTCAGAGGGTTAGAGTAGGGTCACATATGTCCACAGCCCTTAGCCTTAACACCGGCTCACCACAGGGTTGTGTGTTGAGTCCCCTGCTCTATGCTCTCTATACGTATGACTGTACAGCCATCTATTCCAGCAACAAAATCATCAAGTTTGCTGATGACACTACGGTGGTAGGGCTCATTTCAGGAGGGGATGAGTCCGCCTATCGGGACGAGGTGGAGCGGCTCTGTGTTTGGTGTGGAGAGAACAATCTGGCTCTTAATACGGCTAAGACCAAGGAATTGGTGGTGGATTACAGGAAAAAAAAGGCGGACATTCAGCCCTTGTATATCAACGGGGAACGGGTGGAGAGGGTGGCGGAATTCAGGTTTTTGGGAGTAACTATCGATCAGGGCATGACTTGGAGCGCACATACCACTGCTCTGGTGAAGAAGGCCCAGCAGAGAATTTATTTCCTCAGACTTTTAAAGAAGAACAATCTGAGTGAGAGACTGCTGGTGTCCTTCTACCGAGGCTCCATAGAGAGCATTCTTACATACTGTATTTGTGCTTGGTTCTCCAGTTGTACAGCTAGGGAGAGGAAGGTGCTCCAGAAGGTCATAACCACAGCCCAAAGGATTATTGGTCATCCTCTCCCATCTTTGGAAGAACTGTACGGTTCCCGTTGTCTTAGGAAAGCAAATAACATCCTGCAGGATTCATCTCACCCGGGACACAGTCTGTTTGCACTACTGCCTTCTGGCAGGAGATATAGAAACATCAAGTCAAAGACAAATAGACTGAAAAACAGTTTCTATCCAAGAGCTGTGGCCTTTTTGAATGCTGTAACTCGATAGTGTGACCTGGGAGTTTGATGGGTGTTGGTGTGGGTGTGGCTGGAATGTGGTTTGTTTGGTTGTTGTTGTTGTTTTGCTTTTGTTGTTTTAAGGGATGGCATCCAATTTCGTTGCACTTTGTGCAATGTTGCACTTGTGTAATGACAATAAAGAATCTATTCTATTCTATTCTATTCTATTCTATATTCCACCACTTGGTGAATGTTACATGTGAATGCTGCTAGAGCAACTTGAAAAAGTTAAATATTATTAAATGCACATATCACAGGTATGGAACCTCATTACAGTCATACCTCGGGATAAATACGCTTCAGGATAAGTATTTTTGGGTTGCGTTCCGCAGCGACCCGGAAGTAACAGAGTGCATTACTTCCGGGTTTTGATGCTCGCGCATTCGCAGATGATCAAAATGACGTCACGCACATGCACGGAAGCGGCAAAACGCGACCTGTGCAGATGTGCAGTCACGTCTTACGTTCTTTTCAGGATGTGAACGGGGCTCTGGAACGGATCACCGTTCGCATCCTGAGGTACCACTGTAGTAAGTATTGATGATGGGACGACAGGTTAGCTTAGGGGGCGCATGGCAGACCAGGTGGCACGTGTGACTTGCTCCTCCACCTTTTCACCACTGCTGCCTGCACCTGCCATCTCACTCAGCCTAATGTTAGCTCCCTGATACGAATATGTGATACCACTTTCATATTGCAAGCTCTCTGTATGGTTGTTTAAATTCCACATTTTATTTTAGCGGTGTATGTAAAATGCCTTCTGATATTATGTGTGACATTGCTGCCTATGACAGCCTGGTACTGCAAGTCAGTAATAACTCCTTTGCTGGATGAAGTAGAAATCCTAGCTGGTGAAACATATTCTCAAAGGGCAGCTAGATGCATCTAAGAATCTCAAATGCAGTGTTTGATGATCATCCCCTATTTTATTTCATAGGCAGAGGTCACCTTTCTCTGAACATGCAGCTTCTGTTTTAAGCTATCATGACTAATAGCCATTGATGCATCTGTGAATTAAAAAAGCCAATCTTGTGGCTATTGCTTCATTGTGTGTCATTGAATTCCTTACATTATTTATGCATTTCATGTAGTCCTCGTTTGTGTTTGTGTTCCCTGGATCTGCTGTCCAGTTACTCCCCTCTCTGTTTCTCCTCCTTTCTCCCAATTGCCACCAGTACAAGGAAAATTAACTATGTCAGCTCCCGGCCTGATCTGTGGATGTGTCAGGATAATTTTGGGTCTTTGGATCCTCTGAATCTTAGGCTGCCTTGCCTTGTCCTTCCCTACGATCTGTAGAAGTCCACTAGTGGCACATCCTCTCTCACACCACAGTGGCATTTATGCCACTCCCCTCAGTTGGCCTCATAGAATTGTAGAGTTGGAAGGGACCCCAAGGGCCATCTAG